GAATAGAGATATAATATTCATTTAATACCATTTATTTATTGTATAATTATATTATGGTCATACTGGTAACATAGGTACCAGTATAAACATAAAAAAAAAAAAATTAAACTATTAAATTGTAAATGAATTTGTACATCTCAAACACCAAAAATACTGTTTTACGGTGCTGGCTACTTTATTGGATGTTAAAATCTTTACAAATGGAGGGTGGGCTAAAATAAAGTCAACTCCCTTATTATAAACAATTGTGGTCTATTTATGTTGATATATTTTAAATTATGTTTTTATTCTTAAGCAATCAATCGATTTTTTTTTTTCAAATAAAAAAGCACAGTGGAGCACCACATCCTGATGTGTGTTCAGGAAGCACCGTGGAATAGCATTTGATGATGCAGTTACTTGCTGTCTTGCTCGCCCTTGCCATTTTTATTACCAAAATGGTCATCAAACCACGGAGCTTCTGATTCTGAAGTCACTTTTATCCACGGCCTGTAAAATATTTACCCGCTAAACAATAAAGTGTTCTCGAACATTCGCAAAATTCATTTTTTAAAACTATTTGTAATTGAAATTCTTTGTCTTTGCGCCTTTGGAAGTTTAGCGCCCTCTGGGCCGCTAAACTTCCAAAGAAAGCTGCAGGAAGAGCCGTGCGTGGATCACAGTAGAGTGGCATATTCCCGGTTTTTGAGTCTGAAAGTGCTAAATTTACGTACCATTTTTAAAATTTTTTTTACATGTTTTTCAAGGGTAAAATAATAATTATGTGTTACTTTTTACATATATATATATATATATATATATATATATATATATATATATATATATATATATATATATATATATATATATATATATATATATATATATATATATATATATATATATATATATATATATATATATATATATATATATATATATATATATACATACATGCATACACACACGCACACACACACACACGCACACACAAACACACACACACATATATATATATATGTATATATATATATATATATATATTTATATATATATATATATTTATATATATATATATATATATATATATATATATATATATATATATATATATATATATATATATATATATAAACATACATGCATACACACACGCACACACACACACAAACACACACACACACACACACACACACATATATATATATATATTTATATATATATATATATATATATATATATATATATATGTATATATATATATATATATATATATATATATATATATATATATATATATATATATATATATATATACGTACATACATGCATACATACATACATACATACATACATACATACATACATACATACATACATACATAATGATTTTAATGGTAGCTTATTTCTTAAGGCTACAATCCTGTTTCTAAGTTTTTTGTATCTTGCTTGGTTTCTTGTCAATTGCCTTATCAATCTTGATTTAGAGATTCTAACATTGCTTTCTTGTCATTGTTCTAATAAAGAACATGATAGGGTATTTTTATGATACCATTTTTTTAAATGTTGTATCAAGTCTCTTTTCTTCCTTTGTTTTAGAGTTAGCAGACTGGAATGAGTGAAACTAATTTTGTAATCCAATTTCTTATATATATATATATATATATATATATATATATATATATATATATATATATTTTCAAAAAAGAAGAAGAAAAAATGAAGAATGATGAATGAAACAATTGCTTCCCCATCCCAAACCCTCAGTCGATGTAGCAGCACTCCACTGCAAGTCAGGCTATTTGTCAGTCGATGTATGTATTGAAGCCCCCAGCAGCAGGCTATTTCAGTATGACGTCAGATTGCTAACAATAGTACGCAATACTATTTGTGTATATATATATATATATATATATATATATATATATATATATATATATATATATATATATATATAGCGTATATATATATATATATATATATATATATATATATATATATATATATATATATATATATATATATATACATATATATATATATACGCTATATATATATATATATATATATATATATATATATATATATATATATATATATATATATATATATATATATATATATATATATATAGCGTATATATATATATGTATATATATATATATATATATGTATATATATATATATATATATATATATATATATATATATATATATATATATATATATAGCGTATATAGATAGCAATTACTTACTAGTTTGGTTATTTTTATAGTATCCTGCTTTTTCAAAAAACAAAGAATAATGAAAGAAAAGATTGCTACCCTATCTCAAACCATGAGTTGATGTAGCAGCACTCCTTTATGGCAACAAGCTATAAGATAGTTGATGTATGTACTGAGTCTCCTAACAGCAGGCTAATTCAGTGTGACTTTTTTGTTTTTTATGTTGAACCTAAGCCAAGTTTATTTCAAAAGTTAGTTTGAATTTTGAAATGAACTTGACTTAGGTTCAATATTAGGCCAATAAGCTGAAAAAACATTCACATTCTGCATTAGTTTCTGATACAGTGTATACAAAGGAAGAAATCTAATTGCATATAACAAGAGTAACTAATGATTTGTTTTCAAAAATAGTATTTTTAGCCTGTTTTTAAATTTTTATTGCCAAGTTTTCAATATAATTTTTTTCATGTTATGTATTAATTTCAGCTATCATTAAAAAAAATATACTTATACTTAAGGATTCTTAAATAAATAATTTTTTTAAAAATCCTCAAGTATACTTAAGGATTTAAAAAAAAAAAAAAAGAATATAAAAGATTTTATAGTGTAATACTATAAAGAAGAGTACATCTGATTAGCCACTTCAATTACAAGTAAATTCATTCCGTATTATATCATGGTCATATGATATATTAATGGTCATATGCTATTATAACTGAATATTATCATAATAATTTGTTTTTGCAATCCTGCGCTTATAAATGGAACATATATTATAAAAAAATAATATATATATATATTTATGTTAGTTCACCTTCCTAATGCCATGGAGTACACTACAGTCAAGGATACTATTTTATTTGGTGTTGCAACACTCTCTCAATTCTATAACTCTGAAACAGGAAGCATGGTACTACCAGGGATCCAACTCAGAACTTCTGTGTGTGTGTGTGTATATATACACATACACATTTTCATTTCCGAAATTGAGTTTAATAGGTTGCAAACTGGAATTTACTGACAGCTTCAAATACCTTGGTCATATTGTGAAAAATGACCTATCAGATGATATGGATATAAAACAAGAGATGAAAAAATCTATATACTTAAACAAATATGTTATTAATTCACTTTTACAGGTATTCTTTAAGCCTAGTTAAAAGTAAAATTATTAAATCCCATTGCATATGTTTGTATAACATTTCCCTGTGGAACAGTTTTAACACAAGAAAATTATCACTAAAATATTGCTATAATAAATGCACACATTTTTGGATATAAAAAATATTGCAGCCTTACTCAAATGTTTTTAGAATTAAGGCTCCAAAATTTTGATACTATTTTGTCTAACTATAAGATCAATTTAAAGAGACAGTTTGTCTAGTGTGCCAAAAAAAATTTCACTTTTGGTTCAGTTAACAAAGTATTAAAACTGTCTGAGTGATAAGTTGTTGTGTATGGTTGTAACCATACTTTTTATTTACTCTTTATTTAATGGTATATATAATGGTATATATATATATATATATATATATATATATATATATATATATATATATATATATATTTATATATATATATATATATATATATATATATATATATATATATATATATATATATATATATATATATATATATATATATATATATATATATATCAGATGAATGGAGTCTCCAAAAAACTCCAAATTTGAAAGTATTAAAAAGATTAAATTTCCTAGTTTTTGGTATCCAGGAACTCTAATAAATATAAAAAACTTAAGAAATCCTAATGGGAAAAAATTAGGACTTTTAGGTCAGAGAAACAATCAATTTTTAAAGCTATAGTCTTTTAGTATCACGACAGTAGGACTCATGGTTAAAAAACAATATGTTCCAAGTCATTAAATCTCATGAGTTTTTTTTCTTATAGCAGATCACAATTCAATCAACATGATTAGAGCTTATAAACACCAGAGACCAGGAAAATATAAAAATATTAAGCTGTAGTCCTTTTTGGTCTTCATTCTAATATATATATATATATATATATATATATATATATATATATATATATATATATATATATATATATATATATATATATATATATATATATATATATATAGCTGTAGTCCTTTTTGGTCTTCATTCTAATATATATATATATATATATATATATATATATATATATATATATATATATATATATATATATATATATATATATATATATATATATATATTGATATATTTTTATATACATCAGGGACACATCACTGATGCATATAATCGATCGTATGCCTTTTATGACTATCAAGACAGTTTTTTTTTTGGCAACTTGGCAACAGTTTTTTGCATATACTGATAACTTGCATGTTTTAAAAAATGTGCTGAAAAAACCAAACTTATTTAATGAGAAAATAAAAATAAACCAACCATAAACTGAAAAGATACATGCATATATATATACATACATACATACATACATACATACATACATACATACATGCATACATACATACATATATACATACATTTATTCATATATACATACATACATACATAGATACATACATACATACATACATACATACACAGGGGCTATTCTAGACCGTTTTTGACAGCATCAATCGTATTTGGGCGCCGCCCAAATTAAAATTTAAGGACTTTTTTTTTTAAGTTTTTTATGGCAAATATTGTTATTTTTGTGAAAAAACTGCTGATTTTCTGCCAAAGTTTGCCAGAACAAGAGGGTTCCGCTGCCCAAATTTTTTTCATAGAATAAGCCTTGATACATAAATAAATATGTAAACTTTTTTTTTTAGGTTTTAAAAAAAAAAAAAAAAAAAAAAAGAATATAAGTTCCGTAATTTAAAATTACTACCATGAACTTTCCAGACACATTTTTAAACCTTACAATCCCTCAGTACTATGCTGGGAAGAGCGTATTTTTGACAGGAGGAACTGGTTTTATTGGCAAGGTTTTGGTTGAAAAGTTATTGCGTGGTTGTCCTGAAATCAAAAATATTTACTTAATGATCCGTCCAAAGAAAGGAATGTCTTGTGAAGAAAGGTTAAGCAAAATCTTGAAATGCCCGGTAACTTTATTTTTATTAATGATCAGAATCAGTTTTTATGTTTATTTATTAGTTTATATTTAACATTGTCATTTAAAAAATTTTTTTGGTTAAGTTTATCAGAATACCAAAATCTGACTCTTTAAATTATTAATTACCCTGCAAACAAAATGTAAATTAACACAGTTAAAAAGGGTTATAATCTTTAAAGTCACAATTGGTATATGCAAAAATGAGTTGTAGGTACTTTTCACATAAGATTAAAGCACTGCCCCTGTGCTTCTATTATTGAACAAAAAGCATTTTATGTACTTAAAGATTATATGTTAGACTAATTTTGTTACACTAAAAACTTTTTTGATCGATGTTTACAGATATTTTTATATGCTTTTTTAATGAAGTAGTTATTTTTTATTTCATTGGTATTTTAAATATCTTAAATATTCAACTACAGAAGAAAAACTCATCTATTGTTTTATTATGACGTAAATGAAAGGAATTAAAAAAAAAAATTAAGCATTATCTAAGCAAAATAACCTAGAAAGCATGTGAATATTTATTTTGCTTATGTTAGTTTTATTAATAAGATATGTTCAGATGTTAGAAATACAGCAACAGCCAACAATAAAACATTACTTTAAAAAACTTTACTGTTAATTAACTTTGCTTGACTCTTAAAAGTTTAGTTCTTTACTTTCTATATAACGATTGGTTTTATCACTTGACAAGCGAAGTGTTACTTTAAAGCATGTACACTTAAAATTAGCTAACCCAGTCTAGCTGATTTTTATATTTGTATATACTTGTATATAGCTATATACAAAATTTGTTTCTCATATTTAGTTATGTAATTCTTAGGTTTAACCTAATTAATTTTAAATTTTAAGCTTAACTATTATATATTGTTCAATAAGCAAATTTTACTTTTTCATAGAAATTATCTGTCGTTTAAACCAGGGACGCAGATAAATAGTTATATCCTAATTATAGAATATAAATATAAATAATTATATCCTAATTATAGTCCTAAATAACTATATGAATAATTATATGAAAAACTCTCTTTAATGATAGTTACAAAACTAATTCTCTTTAAAATTACGTTTTTTTTTAAATAAAACAACAGTTTCATTTGATCATTTAGAATGATTTTAAAAAGGTTATAAGATAATTTGCTAATAAGTATATTGAATAGTTATATAAATAATTTTTTTTTTTAGAAAAATAGTAAAAAGTTAAATTACATTTTTTTGTATTTTTTCCTATTTTTTTAATTTTATCAATAATATTTTGAAGTTTGACATTTCCTAGGTAGGGGGAGGATAGTACCCTGAATACTACCCCTCTTCTTTTTTGTCCACCCCTTACACACTGTTTAACATAATTTAATTATATGTAATAATTTAATATAGAAATAAATGTTAAACAAAATCTTTTCATTCCTTTTAATCACAATAGAAAAAATTGAAAACATTTTCCTCACCCTTTATTACTGTACAAAATAATACCAATATAAGCGATAACTTTTGATACTAGTACTGCATGATCTCGATATCAATACTGTAAAGTATTGCATCAAGACCAAACAATACATACATACATATATATATATATATATATATATATATATATATATATATATATATATATATATATATATATATATATATATATATATATATATATATATATATATATATATATATATATATATATATATATATATATAACGCAACTAAAACAAAACTCATCAAACTAAAATGCTTAGTCTATTTAATTTACGCATTAAAAAACCTTTTCAATCTTTGTTTCAACATAATATATTCAAAAGTTAAATATTTCTCATAAAAAATACATAGTTATATAAATAAAATAAAAAAAACATTTTATAAATACTTTTTTTTAAATTAATTAGAAGTGTTGTTTTTTTTTTACTTCATTAAAAGTGTTTCGATAATATAAAAGCATTTAAGATCAAACTTATTAAATTGTAACGTTTTTCCAAAAACTTTTTTTTTTTAACAAAGTTTTGTTTATCTTTTTAAATGCATTAACTTTAATCATTCTTATATTTAAATTTGTTAAATAGACTTTCGTAGTCGTAGAATGTCATCGTTTATAAAAACAAAACAATTTTTTATTTTTTAATAAGATTTATTTTAGAAATGAACACTTAAACAATTTATATGTTTTGAATCAAAAAAATATATACAACTGTCAATTATATTTAAAAAACAAAACTTTAATTTGAGTAAATTGTTACTTTATTTAAAATCGTTTCGCTAATATAAAAACATTTGTTAAAAAGTTTTAATGTAATTAATATCACTTTTTTAGAATATTTTTTATTTAGCGCATTTCTAAAATGTTTTTTGAATTAGCCACGGTCAAACCGTCATAGCAAAATGTAACTTGTGTGATCATATGAAGATGTGAAATCGCACGTCTTCCTGTGAAAGCCTGTGTATGGTATTAGCACCAATACCAGATGAGAAATCGAGACTTGAGACTGATTATCTATTATCTAGTCTTTAAGAGCAGTTTATGCGGAAAACATTAGGCTGTAACTAGTTGTTGTAAAAAACAACTAATTACAGCTTAATGTTTTCCGCATTTTTGGATTTTTTATTAGATAAAAAAACAGATAGATAAACTTTTTTCTATTTTCCATTTCTTTAAAAAACTATTTTTAATTTATTTTATTAAATTTAAATTAATTTTATTATTAATCATAGTTTTTATTTTATTATTAACACGTTCACGCCGGCGTGTACCACTGGTGGTACACGCCGCCCAATGAGACAGTCTAGTGTGTACCACCAGTGGTACACGCTGCCCAATGAGACAGTCTAGTGTGTACCACCGGTGGTACACGCCGGTGTGAACGTGTTAATCATATAATTTATTTTATTAAATTTAATTAAAATTCTTTTAAAAATTTTAAAACGCTCTGTTTTTACAATTTTTTTTACTGATAAAATTTCCAAAATTTTTGTTAAAGTAAAAAAAAATTTAATAAATTAAATTCAACTTAGTTTGTTGAATTTAATAAATTAAATTCAACAAACTAAGTTTGTTGAATTTAATTTATTAAATTCAACAAACTAAGTTGAATTTAATTTATTAAATTTTTTTTTACTTTAACATCATAATCATAGTAAGTATAAAGTATAAAATAAGTATAATATATAAAATAAGTATAATATATAAAATAAAACAAATAAATAAGTACATCGGACAATTAAATAAGTACTAAACTATAAATTTTAATATGAATGATAAAAACCGGGTCAATTCAACAAAAAGTGATGCTTCAGTGTTTTTTTTAAAAATGAGTTAACTCAAAAAAATGATCTTTTTTATAAATGTAGCCGTGTGTTTAACTTCAATTTTTTTTTTGTATAAAAAAATAAAGTTTATATACAATACTGAAATTATTAATAATTTTAAAACAACTAAAGTGATTAAAAAATAAATGCACATAAAATACATCGAACAAAATGACGGATAGATGGTACCGGACAAGTCTGATGTCTGGCACTTATTTCAAGCTCTATATATATATATATATATATATATATATATATATATATATATATATATATATATATATATATATATATATATATATATATATATATATATATATATATATATCAGGCCTTGTTTTAAAGCATAAACTGGTTTGCCATTTATGTACACGCTAAGCCATTTTTTATCATTTTTAAATTTTTAAAAAAGTCTAAAGATATCCTTTAAGCGTTAAGATAAAAGAATTAATTGGCATTATAAAAACCACTTATGAAGTTTGGATGACGATTATGTAAAAAAGCTTGCATAAAAATTACGTTTGATATTCACACTATTTACAAAATTCATAAATAGCATTTGTAAATTTTTACATTTGTAAATAATTTTTAAACATTACATTTAATGTAATAAGTTGAGAAAAAACAAAGAAAATTTTTATTTTTATTGTTCTAACTTTTTCATAAAAAATGTTTAGCAAAGAAAAAAAAAGATGTATAGCAAGAATTTTATTTAAACAATTTTTCATAATAAACAATAACAAAAATAATTACCAATTTTAAGAAAAAATTAAAGCTCAAAACAAAAATATTATTTACTCAAAAATAGTACATGCTAAATTTTATTTTATATTAGTGCCACTTTTAATATTTTAATTTTTTGTTTGTTTGTTTTGTTATAATAATTGATTTTATCCAAAAAATGAAAAAATTTTATTAGAAACTTTAAACAACATCTTATAAAGAATTTTTTTATAATTAAAAAAAAAAAAAAACTTTTATGGATATAACTCTATTATTAATTTTTTTGCTTGGTTTTATGCTTGAACCAATATAGCTCTCGCAATGTCTTCGTTTATATTTATAAGTTTTATTTTGTGAAAAATAATAGCTTAGAAAAATAATATTTTATAATAGTTACATCAGCTTTATATAAATAACAGATAATGTGATATCAAAATAGTAAAAACAAAATTTTCTTTATAAGCAAGAAAGAATTTTGATTAAAAAAGTTATTTAAATTTAAAAAAATTAGTTGTTTTTTTTTCTCAATAATTCCTCCTCTTTTTTTTCTTCCTTCTTTTTTATTTTTTACAAAAAGTTAAATTTCTTATAAACATATTATAACTTATGAGTATAATGTATATAACTTGTATATAACTTATACTGCACTGGGATAGCTCAGTTGGTTAAAGCACTGCTAAAAGGTTCGAAATAGTTATTGGTTGCAGCAGCAGGATTGCAGGTTTAAATCCCGGCTCCGCCTATTCAGTGTATGAGTAGTACTTCGGTACGAAGGGAACTTGTCTTTATTAGCTCTGCTATTACAATGTTTCCTTCTCAACTTGTAAATAAATAATCTAGTTGAGTAAATGAAAAGTATTGTTTTTTTAAAACCTGCATCAAAAGTATTCACAAAACCTATGTTAAACTTTTTTGTCTTAAAGCAAGTGAAAGCATAACGGTATATTTTTTTAAATAAGTGATACTTGGAAACTTAAATCTTAGTCACAAAAAAAAGATGCTGGTAAAGGAATTAACTTGAGTTTTTTTCTTTGCAACAAGTAATATTTTTTTGTTTGTTAATAACTTTTTAAAAGTAAAAAATCATTATTTGCAAAGCCGCAATTTTAAGACATAATAAAAAAAATAAAACATTTTAATTCATTTAGACAAATGTTAAGAAAAGAAAGAAATTAATTTATTGCAAATGATAATAAAAAAGTAAATTTAAATATTTAAAATTTAAAAAATAAAATCTTAACCAAAATAGACATTCCACAATAAGTATTTTTATTAATAATTTAAATCATTATTAATAAGTTAATTTGGAGCATCGTTTTTTTTAAAAAAAGATAAAAATGCTGTTTTGTTAAAAAAAATAGAATGAAGAAAAAATTATTTTTAACTTTTGTCTTTTTAATTTGCTTCTACGCAGAGATTTAAAGTAATTTAAACAAAATTTGTTTTTCTTAATTAAAAAAACTTGTTTAGCTGTAATTTATTTTAATAATAAAAAAAAATTAAGTAAAAAAGATAAAATTTTCTTAAAACATTAAACATTTAAACAAGTTTCTTTCAAAGCTTGATGCAAAAAAAATTATACGCTGACAAAATCATGTTTTTGTATAAACTTTAGAATTGATGATGCAAACATTATCATATAATATTAAACTTAATATTTTTGCAAAAACAAGCAAATCAAATAAAAAAATTTATATAAAATAAAATATAAAGTTTATGTTTTCATTAAATTTTTTTGTTTAATTGTTTTGCTATAAAAAAAAGCAAAAGAAAATAGTTTGGCCTAATGTGACAAATAGTTTTTTTATAAGTGTAAGTCTTGTATACTTAAATTTCAGATTTAAAAAAAAAAAAAAAAAATTTGACTAGATTTTCTGTTCAATCTTTTTCCTTTTTTACAAATAACGTTGTCAATTTGCGGACTGTTGTTTTACTTTATTGCTATACCATTTGTACATAGCATTATCTGCTTCAAAATCGTCAATCTCTATATAGTCTTCAATTATCCGAAGTAGTGATTCCAAAAGATCTTGCCCTAGACAGCTTCTCCGGTCATTTTTTACCTGGTTTATACAGAAAACATTTGTTCAACTTTTACGCATTTGTAAATTAACAAATTAAAAATAGTTCTATGTATCAAAAATATTTCAAAATTCCTCGATCAATTTTGATTTAGAAAAAATAATTTCCAAAATCTTCAAATAATGTCAGGGGTATACACTCAAACTTTTGGTCAGTCGCCAGAAAGTAGCATCTGACAGTAACTAGTTTGTTAATTTTGATGGTCTGCTGACTTTTTGAGTTGCCTGTCACTATTTTTTATAAAAATTTTCGCATTAAGCAGAGTTCTCACATATTCTAGTCTTAATAAGGCTAGGTGTAGAATAGAAATAATTTGTATAAATAAAAGTATTATTGTAAACTATTGATAACATTCACTTTTCTACTTTCAGGTAGCACATGCCGATATATACACCATTAGTTTCTTTCACTTGAGTTACAATAACAAAGAAAAATTATAAATCTTTAAAACTCTTTGCTTTTAGTAAGTGATCGACCGAAGTTCTGTTTCAGTATCGGTTTTGGTCGAAATTTTATTTTGAACTGATACCGAAATTTCGGTCATAAATTTGGTAAAAAGCAAAATTTCTGTTAAAAAACATACAGAAAACTGAAGAATTTGTAATATAATTTTGAATTAAAAATATTCAGAAAACCAAAAAAATTTTATATTGAGGTATTTACTTTATATTACTAGTATAGTAATAGTACTTGTACTATTGTAAATTTCCTTGAAATGTTATAACTTATTTTGAAATATATTTGATTTGATGTGATTTGTAAGATTTTAAATTTTTATCTTATTTAGAAAAACTATCTTTGAAAATTTTTACAAAATATTTTGAGGAGTTTTCACAAAGTATATCGAAAAAAAATCTTGTCTTGCAAAGAAAATCTGCCAGTTGTTAACTTTCGCTTTTAACTTACGTCGTCAAATTATGTTTTAAATCTCAATTTGTGATACATGTGTAATTAATTCCAACATAATATAAGTATAAAAAACGTCAAATTAAAATTGCATTTTTAAATAAATTTTTCTAATGAACTTAATTTCAACTAGCCAAAATGTCAGTATTGGTTTTGGTAAAATATTTGCTGAAATGTCAGTTTCGGCACCAAACTAGAGTACCTGAAATTTTTGTTTATTTTGGTTTCGCCTTTTTTTCAGTTACAGTTAATCACTAATTTTAATGTGTTGTAATTATTAAGAACTTATTTGTTACTACAGGAGCCTGAAAACTATTTACACAATATTGAATTAGTAAAAAAATAAAAAATAAAAAAGCTCTCAGAATTAGGGAAAATGAGGCAATAATTTGTCAACCTTAATCTGTGTGAGGTTGGCAGAAAAAAATAAAACAAAGGTTTGACCATAAAACATAAAAACAAGGCCAGTGGTTTTTTGCAGACCTTAAATGCTTCTAGGTTGGCATTGCTGAATGCCAACCCTAATTCCAAGGGTTGGATTATCAATGATGGAAAGTCTTATGTTTTACATAATGTAGTTATGTAAGATAATTTTGTAATTAGTCAGCTGATATATTTTTAATGAATCCATTCAGGAAGTATACTATACAAATCACATCCTAGACCAATTAAAAAATCTGAAAAACAACAACTTCATTGATAGCCAAAAGTACTATCGTTTGGACTTAATGATCAGTTGAAAACATCAAGTTTGTTAAAATAGTTTTTGGTTAAAAGCTTTTTATGTGTTAATAAACATATAAAATATAGATAGAAACATTCTGAAACTTTGCAAGCTTAGGAATGTTTGAGCATATTAAGTATAATTATCAGTTAAGTTTAGTAACTTTGTTGTTTTGATTTATTTTTTAGGTAAATTTTTTGTGAAATACTCGATGAAGTACATCACACTAAATTTTAACTTCTAAATAAAATTAGGCAATTATTGACTTTGACACTGAGATTTAATTAATTAAAATTTAAAAGCACTGAAACAATGAATGAAACTTTTAATATATAGTTGAATTAAAAAATGAGTTTTAATTATTTTTTTTTAAATCAGTTAATAATATATATACAATCAAAAATAACATATATAAATAATTATATATACAACCAAAAATAAGCAAAATGATTTCTTATCTTTGATTTTTATAAGTTGACTTTTTATTTTTAAAAATTATAATTTTTATCTTTTTTTTTCAGCTGTTTGATAAATTGAATTCAATTAATTCTGATGCCATTAATAAAGTGATTCCTATCCCAGGAGATGTGGTTCATAAAAGTCTTGGGATATCATGTGAAGAACGTAAAATCTTATGTGAAAATGTTGAAATTATTATACATTCAGCTGCTACTGTTCGGTTTGATGAGCCAATTAGGTTTAAAACTTTTTTATGTTTTAAGGGCTCGAATTAACGCAAAAAAAATCTAATCGCGAAAAAAAAGTTTTTCACACCCCTTCCTTCCCCCTTATACTATGCGCCTCTTTGCGGTATGAGGGGGGAGGGAAGTTGCGTTAGTATATAATAGTAACTTTTGTATGTAATTGTTCTATTTTTAACATATTATCTCTCATATTTAAATATAATCTTACAGTTTTCTTGTTTGGCAGAGTTTAAAATAGCGTAAGTTACTGTTATTATTTACAACTTAAGTTATAACATAAAGGTTAAGTTGCAGTTGTTTAATAATAATGTTTTTAATACTATTAAGATATTTCTTTAAGTATATTTTTACTTAACATGATACTTAAAAAAGTAAAAGTAAAAAAGTAAGAGAAAAAGCAACATTACAATATCTAAACCACTTTAATTAGTCAAAGAAAACTATTTAATACGTTCATGCTGACGTTAAAACAAAAAAATTGTTAAAAGCTATAAAACAACATTAAAACACACTGTAGCTTGGGTTAATGTAAAACAAATTCGTGATGCTGTTTCGTATTGATTTATACAGCTTGCATTTTTATAGAAAATGTTTAGTCTAGATTTCGCTATAAATAAAAATATAAAAAAATGGTATCGCATTTTTCATATTCTGTTTGAAAATTTTTGTTAAAATAATTATTAGTTAAAAGCTTATATATATGTTAACAACATGTAAGACTTAAATTGAAACATGTCTATGGCTAACTTTTGCGAGAATATTAAATAATTGTTAAATTAATACTTGAGTAACTGTAAGTTACTGTCTTAACTTAACTGGTTGTTTTGATTTAGGTTATAAGTTAATTTACTGTGATATACTCTATCCATTCAGTAAAGTTAACTAAATATAACTTCAATAGTTTCAAGGTCGTTAAAGCGAAAAACGTGAAAGCAAAAAAGTTGCTGGTTTCTGTTAGCACAATTTTACTAATAGAAATTTTATTTAATAAAAACGAATTAATATATATTTTATTATACTTAAAGTAGTAAAAATAATTATATAAAATTGTTTATAAAATAATAATTTAAATCATTATTAATAAGTTAATTTGGAGCATCGTTTTTTTTAAAAAAAGATAAAAATGCTGTTTTGTTAAAAAAAATAGAATGAAGAAAAAATTATTTTTAACTTTTGTCTTTTTAATTTGCTTCTATGCAGAGATTTAAAGTAATTTAAATTAAAAAGTGCTTTACGTTGAATAAAAATCTTGCCGCGAAAGAGCAAATGATCATGCTTCTATTCAAAAGACAAATGATCATGCTTCTATTCAAAAGACAAACTTTGCATGACGTACTTATACTTTAAGAATTGTCAAAAAAAAAGCTAAATTAGAAAAATAGTAAAAAAACAGCTAAAAAAGTAAACCAATTGCGAAAATATATGTTTTAAGAAAAAACTAATCACGAAGGTGTAAAAAGCAATCGCGATATGCTTAATTCAAGCCCTGTGTTTTAATTATAGTTATTATTAATTTCATTTTGTATTATTATATATTTTTTAGTTATTTTTAATTGTATATGGCAACTAAAACTTTGAGTTTAAATCACTTTTTTTTTTTATCTACTATTAAAAAGTTTAAAACATATTTTGTTGTCCTAAATAAATACCAAAAAGTTCAACATCCATGGTTCTACAAACAGTGTGTGTATATATGTGTGTATGCGTGCTTGCATGCATATATGTATGTATATACAGTGAACGAAATTTTCTAAGCCGCACACAATTTTTATCAGATTTTTCATTATAGAGACTTAATTAAACGTTTTATTAAGAAATTTCTGTATGTGATATATTTATACCATTGTTTGTTAATTGATAATTAAAAGATAATTGATATCATTGTTTTTATAATTTCTTTATATAAAAAAATTTAATTATTTGATTTATTTGAGTGCGAAATTTGCATAGACGCAGTTCTGTTTTATTAAATTTTAGATATAATTTTTAGTTTTGGTGTTGAAAAAATCAATTTAAATTGTAAGTAATTTCGTAATTGACTTATATTTTTCATAAATTTAAAATTCAATGTTTCATATTTTTAGTGAAATGGCACATGGAAAATTTTTAAATGACCATGAAAAAGGTTTAATTAATGCATATAAGGATTCCGGGTTATCTAATAGAGAAATTAGACGAAAAATTGGACGATCTGAAAAAGTGATTAGAAACTTTTTGAAACTTGGGTCAGTATATGGTGTCAATCAAAAAATACGTAAAAACTACAAGATAACGAAAAGGAACGTGGAACAAATTCGACAATTAGCGACAAAACAAAAGTTAACTGCAAGTCAAATCATATCAGAATTAAGTTTGACAATCACTCCTAGACGTGTTCAACAAATATTGTCAAGATCTGATAATATAAAATGGCAAAAACCACTAAAAAAAACGTGTTTAAAGCAAATACACAAAGAAGCACGACTTGAATTTGCCAGAAAAAATATGGATTTTGGAGAAAAGTGGAAATATGTCTTATTTTCTGACGAAAAGAAGTTTAATCTTGATGGGCCAGATGGTTTTAGCTATTACTGGCATGATTTGCAAAAAAACAATGCACCTCGTTTGTCACGCAATTTTGGTGGTGGATCATTAATGACATGGGCAGCATTTTGTATCAATGGAAAGACACCGATATGTTTTATATCAACAAAAATGAAATCCATTAATTATACAGATTTATTAGAAGATGTCTTAATCGATTTTTTGGAAAATAACTTGGAAGATCAAGTCATTTTCCAACAAGACAATGCACCCATTCATAAGTCAAGAGAAACTATGGCATGGTTTGAATCTAAAAACATCAAAGTGATGAGATGGCCTGCATATAGTCCAGATCTCAATCCAATTGAGAACCTTTGGGGAATCTTATCTCGAAAGGTTTATGAAAATGGACGACAATTTAGCAGCATTCAAGAGCTTCGAGGTGAAGTCAATAGGTGTTAGCAAGAAATTCAACCAATGACACTCCAATGGCTCATTAATTCAATACCAAATAGAATTTTTGAAGTGATTAAGAACCACGGAGGACCCACCAAATATTAAAATTTAAAAAAAATATTTTTTTCCTTTTCATTATTTAATTTTTAAAAGTGCGTCTAACAAAAATTTGCATATGAAAAGTGCATTCCTTATTATTATTTTTTTCTATTTTTAATGTGATATAATTGTGTGCGGCTAAGTAAATTTCGATCACTGTATATATATATATATATATATATATATATATATATATATATATATATATATATATATATATATATATTTTTTTTTTTTGCATAGAATAGTTATATATAGAATACCACACACAAAAAAAAAGTTTTCCTAACTGATACATTTTACAGTTTTTTTTTGAAAAACTGTAAAATATATCAGTTAGGAAAACATAATGGTGCTAAAAATTCTGAAGCATTGATGTTCAAGAAAAAAAATTAGATTATGACATAAATAACAAACATTTATAAAAAAAGGAATTAGTTTAACACTGCACAAAACATCGCTGATATTTTTATGCATTGCAATATATGGATTATCATATTTTATATTTATGTATAGTATTTTATATTTATGTATACTATGCAATAAACAATAAAATTATTAAATTTGATTATGTATTTTCTGACACTCATACATTTTTTTTTTATGATCTACTTTTAGGGTTGCTATGGAAATGAATGTCATAGGTGTCATAGAGATGCTTAAATTAGCAGCAGAAATGAAAAAATTGAAGGTACACTTAAAGTTGTTATTAAAATAATCAAATATAATAATGATAATAAGATATAATATAATAATAAAATATAATAAAATAAAAATAAAATGATAAAATAATAAAATAATACAATAAATAATATAATAATAAAACAAAAATAAGAATAAAAAATATTGCTTTTTAAATATGTTTCCGTTTCAAAGTCACATGACTGTTTAAAAAAGGGAAATTTAGACGTTTAGACCAGGGCATCAATGCTTTATTTATAAATTATTGAGGATGTATATCTTTTATATTCTGAATATCTTATATCTTTTATATTCCAAATAAGTCATGTAATGTTTTTTGCTTTTCATTTTTTTAATTGATTTACCATATAGCCCCGTGTAAAAAAGTTCATAGGTGCGTTTTCTGGTGATTTTGATGTCCATATTTCAGGATGAATAAATTTGATTTTTTGGTCAGTTAAAAATTTAATGGTCATTTTCAAAGAGTGACTAGGTAGTGACCACGTTTCTGCCATAAACCATCAATTCCAATTTGTATATCAACAATATCATTTTTAGCAGCATTTGGAAAATCTTTGTTTCTAATCTCTGTCATAGCATCCCTCATGCTATAACAAGAAGCAGCTTCATAAAATTTTAATAGATCAGAGTTTATATCATTATACAAAAACAAACTCATTGGTGGGGGCAAAATAGATGCAAATATTTTCATTGCCTTGTGACCTTGCCCAATTTCTCTAAAGGCTATAATAGTTCTCACATTAATTTCTTAAAATTTTACTCCCCTGGTATCTCTATCAGATATTCTAAATGCTCATAATGAATTAAAGAAGTACGTCCATACACAAGTTGCACATTTAATACAAAATTGTATTGAAAATCCATTTGCTTTTTCATCAAGATATTCAAGAGCAATATCCTTTGAATTGCATCCACCACAGGATCCAATCCACCACAGGATTTGCATCCACCACAGGATCCAATCCTATAAATTAAATCTTTAAACAATGGGAAAAGAAAAAAAGAAGAAAAAGTTGTTGTGTTTTGTTAAAGGTCGATCAGCTTTATCTATGAAAATGTTCAACTTTGTTGAACTAGCACATGGCAATATATTTATTTCATCATTGTTTGTATCTTGTAGGCTGTTGCAAAAAAACCTCAACTGTTTTCTTAGTATATCTATTACCTTGAAAAACTTGTTTAACTTTTCTATGTTTACAACTTTTATTCTTTGCCATAATCAAACTTTTTTTAACGTCTTTAAACTTTTTTCTCTCTACTTAACAAATAACATCAAAACATACAACTTTGCTAAAAAAAAATAACTCTGGTTCAAAAGATATTTATATATGAATAAAAATATATGAATTCTTGCAAGTAAGTTTTTTGCTCGCTGAGCAGCGTTTCTTACATTTCAACAACGATTAATTTTATCCTACCTATATCTACCTCTTATTTGACAACTATTTTTAAGTTGTTACCATTTACACTAATAACTTCTTCGAGCCTAATATATCCATTTTCATTTCACTATTATCATTAAACATATTACTTATAGTATTACTATTGTTACAACTGAATAATAAATGAATATAAAAGAATCTTACAAATTGTGCTCTTTTCTAACCAAAGGCTATATTTTAACTTAAAATTTATTTATAAAACTGAGATACACGATTTTTAACCGATGTTGCATGTTCAGGAATGCACATCAATTATGCCATCTCTTGGGAACAAAAAAGTGAATAAACCGTAGGATCTAAGTTAGCTGACATTCTCAATAAAACTTCTCAATGACCTTTTGGGTAAATAACTTCCCTGGAAGCAGGTGCAGCACTCTCCAAAGAATACAACTGCAACTTCCCTAACTATAGTTTGCAAATAAAACGTTAAATTATGTAAGCAAAGTTGATTGTGATGTTATTGCTTCCTAAATTTTCCTGCTGCGAGTGGGTCAGAGATATACAGTTGGTAAAGTTGGGGAATATCTTGATCTGGCCTAAGATTACCTACACAATGAAAAACTTGGCCACATATTTTAAAACATAGGCGGCCTATGGTAGGTTAAATCACATTAGTAAATAAAGTAAAATAAGGACAGGCATATTGAATTCTAATATATTAAAAAAAAAATTGATATTGGAACTAAGATATAACTTCCTGTAAATATTGCAGAAATAGTGAAAATGGAAGCAAAAATGCCTTTCTATTATGACTACATAAAAAATATTTCATCTAAAAAATTTTTAGCACAGCCATGCTGACAGATCTGGTTCATTTCTTCTAATCATAATCTAGAATAGTATCACTTCTTGTTATACAATACATTTTGATTGTCTAGCAGCATTTCGTACATTTTGAGAATGGTTAATCTCGTCTAGGCCTATCTCTTTCATTTATGTGATAATTATTTTTAACTTGTTTAACCATGATGTTCTAATTTAGGTATAAATTAATTAATTTAGGTATAAATTAATTAGTTTAGGTATAAATTAATTCGTTCTTACCAAGCAACATTTCTTATATTTTGATGACAAATAATTTCAGCTTGCCTAATTCTAATCATTTCACTAAATTATCAATTATTTTTAAATTGATAGTATTTCTTCTAATTACTTATTTAATCCTTTTTTTGGATGGATGATATCCATCCAAAAAAAGAAAAAAAATTAAATAAGAATATCAAAATATTAATAGTCTAAAAGTGGTAAACATATCTCCAAAGTTGTAAACATATCTACAAAAAGATAAATAATGTTTAAGAAAAATCAGCAAAAACCTACAGTCCTAATAAGAAAGATATTATTTGTTAAAAAAATAAATAAAAACATAATGTTGAATCTTACTTGGTTTCTTATCTATAAAACAATTTTATTCAACTATTTAAAACTATTTAAAAGGAAAAAACAAACAAAAAAGTTAAAATGTTAAGCAATGTATTAAAAAAAAATAATCAAATGCAATTACTTTAGAATATATATGATATATACCCCTTAACAATTTAACTCATTTGTTTAACCACTGGTTTATCATTGAGGTCAAAAATTAATAAACAAAAATTAAAATAATTATTATTCAAAATAACAATTTTTAAGATAAAAACCTATTATTTAATTTAGGATTTACTAAAATCCATATTTTTTTGGCAATCAGTATATTTTTATCTAAAGTAATAAAAAAAATGAAACCATTTAAGAACAAATTTAAAAATCTAAATATATATTCAGATACCTTAAAAAGAAACTTAACACAACATTCTTTTGACAACTTCGAACAGAATTTTTTTTTTTTTTCCTACTTTTTTTTTCTATGCCTTATTTTTTATCTAAAAGAAAGCATACACATAGATACAGAGAAATATAAAATATACTGAAATATACGCAAATTTATGTAAATTCGCTTACATGTTCGCATATAACAATCTTATTTAAAGAAAAGGAAACAGACTATAAAAATTAGAAAAATACAAAAAACCAACAATTAACAAACATTAAAATTTTTATTGTAAAATTAAACTATGAACAACATCAATTCTTCTTGAAACTAAAAATTTATCAGCTCTAATTTATAAAATATAAATAATAAAAGTAGACCTTGCATGACTGCGTGGAATACTGATCCGCGTATAGAAAAACCTAGAAACTACTTTAAAAATAAAAGTGAAACTACTATTAAATTATCGCATTAGTATTTAGATAAAAGTGATAAAAGTGAAATATTTTAGAAAATAATGTAAAAATCTTTATTGTTTAGGTGTTTTGTCATATCTCTACAGCTTACTCGCAGTGTAATTTAAAAAAGGAGGTTGAAATAAAAGAGCAATTTTATCCTGTGTTTGCAGAAGCAGAGAAAATTATCAATGTCATGCAGTGAGTTTTTTATTTTGTTTTGTTTTACAGTGTATACACATACGGTTTGCTTGCTACAAATACAGTATTAAAAGCCTTACATAGTTAATATAATACACATAATATTTCAAGTTACTATTTAACATAAACAAATAATAATTAAGATTTAGGTTTAAGTACGTTTAGGAAAAAACGCATTAGATAACCAACACTCTGGCATAATATTATATATCTTGCTATAATTTTCTCTGTGAACTAGTAAATAAATGATTTCAATGTTATTTTATGTTGTTAGAATTTCCAGAATTAGCTTAGGGGTTGTCCATAAATTATGTCACACAATTTTTGGTCTTTTTTTAACCTTCCCCTCCTCCTCTCCTCCCCCCACCTTTCCTTGTCACAAAATCATAACACTTTAGTAGCAAGTTTTGTATGAGTCATCACAAAACCACTATACCCCCCCCCATAGACTGACAATTTATGGACAACCCTTTATACTAAATTGCTTGCAAATGGTAAATGTGTAATGATAAAAAGTATCTCTAGATTCCAGATGATTCTCCACATTGATTTCAGATGATTCTCCACAATCATTCCTGATGATTCTCCACATTTCTACTCTACAACTTCTTTTTGTTGTATAATCAATTATGTTTTGCAACTAAACAGTTTTGAAATTATGCTTTTTTTAATTTAACAAAATCAGGACCTTGGGGAAACATATCAATATTTTTTTTTTCATTAATTATTTTAACTTTTTCTCTTGATTTAATTTCCTTTTTTGCTTAACTTAGTTTCCTTTTTTGCTTAACTTAACTTTTTTTTCTCAAATCCTGTGCATTTTCAATTTTGTTGTTTTACCCCAAATTTAAAGAAGAAAGTTTTTAAATTCACTATGATTTTTTGGAATCTTAGTATTGCATAGATTTAAAGCTGCATTGTTTTTGTATATTTAATTGTTTCAATATTCCTTTTTTTTTTAGGTGTCTTATACTTTTTAATTAATTATCTTATAATTTCTTGTTTAGATGGATGACAGATGACATGTTGAATAGTTTAACAAAATCTTTACTGGGAGGTTACCCAAACACATACACATTTACGAAAGCTTTAGCAGAGGATTATCTAAAACGTAATGCTAGTGATCTCCCTTTAATAATTGTGAGACCATCAATTGTTACAGCATCTCTTTCAGACCCAGTCCCGGTATTTAGCATTTCTTCTTTGAGTTAAAAATCATTAAATTGTATTTTTTTAAATTTATTTTTGAATACATTTTTAATCTTGTAGTAGTTAAATAGTTTTATGCACTAACAAATATCTAGTATATAATATACATACATATATATTATAAATAACATAAGCGATTTTGCGTGTAGCTAGGGTTATTTGCGTTGAGCAAAAAGTTTTTTGTTTGAGTATATTTAAAGATATTTTTGAGCGGATTTTTAATGAAGTAGTTTACGATTATTTTAACATTTAGTAAAGTATTTTAAAAACGGCACGCAGTTGATATAAAAGTTTGAATTACAAAAAAATTAAATATGCTCATTATTTACTAGTAGAAAAAATTCAGATAATAAAAGTTTTTTAAGCTTTTTTTTTTATTTTTTTAAATCTTTTTAAATCTTTTTAAATCTTTTTTTTTAAATCTTTTTAAGCTAACATTTTAATAAAATTATTCAGCAATAGCAAAGTTGTCGATAAAATTGAACAAAAATACTTTCTTTTAGTTTTAGATTTTTAACTTAAATAATTATTTTACGGGGGTTTGTTAGGTTTTAAAATTATTCCATAGATTTAAAAATATTTATTAACTGTTAGACGTATTTAAAGTATTTAAGAGTAATTTCGAGGAAACATTTTAAAAATTGGTAAGCGCAAATAAAAAAAAAATAAACGGATTAATATTAAAACGTATTCTACTTGATTCAATAAAAAAGTACAGCTATTAAAATTTTTATAAAAAGTAACTCGAAAAAAGTTACTTAAATAATAACAATCGCTTTTTTGTTAAAAGTTACCTAAACTCAACGAAGCGTGCTCAAGAACAGCTGCCGAAAAATAGAATGTCAATAGTTTTTCCAAGAATTTTTAATAATAGTTTTTAAGAATAATTTTTTCGCTGAAATATTTCTTTTATACCTATAAGATTTTTATTCTTACATTTTATTTTATTTTACCAAAAATTTATTAAAAAAAAATTCCTTGTAAACATTAAAAATCTATTCAAAACGCTCGTTAAAGTTTTTTAGTAATACGAGTGATTGTGCTTATCAACCGCTTTATGAAAATATATAAAAATAAATAAATAAAAAAATATTATATAAAATCGCTAGTAAAAATATTAGCTATTGCACAGTTTTTAATCGTACAATATTAAATTTTCCAGTTTATTACTCGCTAACTTTTTAAAAAGAAAAATTAATTATTTGAAAAACTTTAAATTACTTATTTGAGAAAAAAAAAATCAAATATTAGCATATTTTATAATGTTTTTTATAATGTTTTTTATTCGTTTAGTATAGACAAAACGTGTCAAGCGTCGAGAAAATAAACTAAAGTTTTTACATTTTAAAAAACGAAACATTTCAAAACATTTTTAAATAATAACATTTCGACATTAATGATTTAAAGTAGTTTTGCGGTAATTAAGTAAATTGGTCGATAAATACGAAAAGCAAATAAAAAGAATTTAATGACGTTAAAAATCACGTCGCGCTTATGCGTCCCGCATTAACTCAAAAAAAAAATTTTTTTTTAATCTTTACTTAAAAAAAAGAAGAAAGAAATTTTAACAAAAGAGATAATAAAAAGAACTTAACTAAAACTAAAACACAAAAAATAAAAATATAACTCAGCTAAAAATAAAAAATAAAACTAAACCTCTAAGATAATTTAAATCAAAATTTTAATTACATTTGGAATAAACATCGTATCTTTTATCTTTACTAACAGTTTTATATTAAAATGGGAAACTCTTTAAAATAAAGTATCAGGTTCTAACAGTTGTTTAATAAATATGCACATTTAATTTAGTGTTTTTATATTATTAATTTAAGAATAGTAAGTTTCTACTAAATATGTACTAAAAAAATTTTTTTTAGCGCCTAAATTATGTTTTGAAAAACCAGTTATAAAAAGTTAAAATATAACAAAAATTTTTGTAAAATTTTTTTTTTTACACTTTTTCTAATAATCGAAATTACTTATTTGAATTATTTTATTTTAGCATGGTGATAAGCATTGAAGACAAATTACATTTGTAAAAACAAGTTACTTATGTAACAAAATATATTTTTTCAGTTAAAATTTTCACTTAAATAAAAAACATTTCACTTACATCAGTCACATACTTGTTTATACAACAATCATAGGTAATCATAAAGTAATTATCAGTAATTTGTTATTATATTTAAAAGTCTCACTAATATAAAAACATTAGTTGAAATGTTTTGATGTTATTTATTTCTAAAGATTAAAAATATTATTCAGCGTGTATAAACAAACTGAATAATAATTATGCAAGTGTTAAAGTGCTAAAGTTTTGAATAAATATGCTTAGTTATAGCACATTTTAATCTTTAATGATTGCACAGTTAAATGTGCTGTGTCAAATTAACATGTTTATTTTCCTGAGATCACTTTTAATAAAACTTTTTATTTTATTTTTGTAATGAGTATTGAATTCACTACATCATGTTATAAGTTTTAATATGATTCACAATACCATATCGCAGAAACCTAACCTAAAAGGTGAATCATTTTTGTACATGTTTTCCTGCATCTAGTTAAACGGTTTTTTTACTTATTTTTCCACGTAACCTAAGTTAGATAGTCCTAATTGATTTTTGGTCCTAAGTTCCTTTTTGTCTGACTCGGAACTTTTTAGTTTATTTTTTTCTTCAGACTAACAGCTTTTATACATAATTGCTAAATTATAAGTTATAAATTATTTTGTTTACATAAAAAATGCATTTAAACATGCATTCATAAAAAAAATTTAAATTATTTGTTAATTTACACAAAACGCATTTATTTTAAACAATCACTTAATTAATTTTTTATTTTTATTTAAAGTCTAAAATAAAAACTTTAGAAAAGATCAACAATAAAAAGTTATAACAAAACAATTTTTTATAGCATTTTAATTGTTAAAACATCAAAAAACTGTTATACATACATATATATTTGTTTTAGGGTTTTTATAATTTATGTTTTAATTTTATTTTTAAGGGTTGGGTTGACAACTTCTTTGGCATAAGTGGAGTTATTGCTGCTGTGAGTTTTTTTAAATTTTTATGACTTATTTAGTTGAAGAGAGATTTTTAAGGATTTTAGAATCTTTACAGGTCGGAAAAGGAGTTCTTCGTACTATCCATGCCCCAAAGGTGAAAAATGACATGGTTCCTGTTGATTTAGTTTCAAATTGTATAATTTCAGGAGTATGGTATTATGGTGTAAGTCAGTAAGTTGTTATTTTTTATATTTAATTTTGGAATAATTTCTAGAAGCTTTTGTTTTAAGGTGATTTAGTTTCATAAATAGTAGGTTGTTAAATTAAATGTAATGTGTATACATATATATATATATCAACCCTCGGAATTAGGAAAAATGATGTCGGCAATAATTTGCCGACTTCAATCTTTTTGAGGTTGGCAACAATTATTTGATACAAAGGTCTGACCATAAAACATAGAAATGAGGTCGGCAACCTTTTGTAGACCTCAAGCACTTTTAGATTGGCATTGCCGAATGCTGACCCTAATTCCGAGGGTTGATATATATATATATATATATATATATATATATATATGTATATATATATATATATATATATATATATATATATTATACGCACACAGGGCAATGGAGCCAAAGTCTAAAAATTGACTCCAGCTCCATTAGAATTTTTGGCTCCAAAACGGTTATGCAAAAAGTAAAATCAAAATAATTTTTTTATTGTTATATGACAGTAACTAGTGATTATCTTTTTCCGGATATTTCCAGAATTCCGGATATTCTTCTATAAAAAAAATTTGGAAAAAAATTTGGAAACAACTCAGCTAAAAGAAAAATTAAAAAGAAAATAAGGGAATATATTTTCTGGATTTTTTCCAGCAATTTTTCAGATTTTTATAATATGACCTGGATGACCTATGAGTAACTTAAGTACTATTAATATTTTATTATTCGAAATCGTGTTCATCCTTAAAAATTACAATATAAATTGATATAGCCGTCAAACAGGTTGATCCATTGCTCGACATTCGTATCACTCCAGCTTCTGTATCTAAAGTGATTTCCCGCTTAGACTCTTCTACAGCTTGCGGCCCGAACAACATAACTGTTATAGTCTTGCAGAAGTGTTCTCCGGAGCTGTCGTCTATCCTTTCAAAACTATTTAACAAGTGCTTATCAGAGTCTTGTTTTTCAGCCTGCTGGAAAACAGCATCTGTTATCCCTATTTTTAAAAATTCTGGAGAGCGATCTGATTCATCTTACTACCGTCCCATTAGTCTTCTTCCTATCATAAGCAAGGTTTAAAAATGCTGGAAAACAGCATCTGTTATCCCTATTTTTAAAAATTCTGGAGAGCGATCTGATTCATCTTACTACCATCCCATTAGTCTTCTTCCTATCATAAGCAAGGTTTTTGAATCTTTATTTAACAAACACTTAATCTCTCATCTCGAATCTCATAACCTACTTTCTGATCATCAATATGGATTTCGATTTTCTCGTTCTACGGCTGATTTGCTAACAGTAATAACCGATAGGTTTTATCGCGCATTAGATAAAGGTGGAGAGGTTAAGGCCATTGCTCTTGACATTTCTAAAGTGTTTGATAGTTTGGCATGCTGGTGTCCTCCATAAGCTTTCTTCTTACGGTGTATCTGGAAACATCTTTAAGATTATTGAATCCTTCCTTTCCAATCGTAGTATAAAAGTTGTCCTTGATGGACAGCACTCTTCTTCTTATTCTGTAACCTCAGGGGTTTCCCAAGGTTCAATCCTTGGCCCTATACTCTTTTTAATTTACATTAACGATCTTCCAGATATTCTCACATCTAAGGTGGCATTGTTCGCTGATGATACTACCATTTATTCTTGTCACGATAAGAAGCCAACTCCCTCTGATTGCTTGCAGGGGGCATCTGAGCTTAAAAAGGATCTCACTTCTGCTACAGCATGGGGCTCACAGTGGCTGGTGAACTTTAATTCAGATAAAACTCAATTTTTTTCGGCCAATCGTTATCGCAATAATTTAGACCTTCCTATATTTATGAACGGTAATGTACTTGATGAGTCTCCTACCCTTCATCTTCTAGGATTAACTCTTACTTCTGATCTTTCTTTGAAACCTTATATCAAATCCGTTGCAAAATTAGCATCTGCTAAAGTTGCTTCTCTTTATCAAGCTCGTCACTTTCTTACTCTGGATTCTATTCTCTATCTCTATAAATCTCAAATCCGGCCTTGTATGGAATACTGTTGCCATATCTGGGGCGGATCTTCTAATGATGCCCTTTCTCTTTTAGACAAGGTGCAAAAACGTATTGTAAACATAGTTGGATCTGCTCTTGCAGCCAACCTTCAACCTCTGTCACATCGTCGTAATGTTGCTTCTCTTTCTCTTTTCTACAAATACTATAATGGGTTTTGCTCTAAAGAGCTAGCGTCTCTTGTGCCATCTACTAAAATTCATTCTCGTGTTACTCGTCATTCAATTAACTCTCATCCTTTTTCTGCTACTGTTCCTAAGTGCTCCAAAAACTTTTATTCATCTAGTTTTTTTCCTCGAACATCAGTTCTTTGGAATTCGCTTCCTTCATCTTGCTATCCTGATTCATATAATTTGCAATCTTTTAAGTCGTCTGTCAATCATTATCTTGCTCTACAATCTTCATCTTTTCTCTTCCAGTAACTTCCAACACTAATTAGTGGTTGTTTGCAGCCTTGTTGGATGCGATTATAATAAAAAAAAAAATATATATATATATTATCTAAAATATCAGGTTTGAATGAAGAATGCAGATTGCTCGATATAAACTTTTATTAAGCAATTAGTCCTTGATTCTTCTCTAGGTCAATTTTAAATTTCAACCATTCCTTTATGAAATTGAACTGTCACATCATACAGCTTTTTAAAAGATGGCAAAGATGACTCAACTCATCCAATATTTCATGGCATGGAAAGAATATCTGATCAGCTGCAGCAAATTGCTCACAGTGAAAGCAAAAGTAATAATTGTTAAATTATCCAGAATGTAGTACCCCAGCTTGTCTCGTTATCCAAAATTGGAAAGACCTTGTATTGCTTCCTTGCTAAACATTGTATGTAAGTTTCTAAGTTTCTTAACAGCATGTTATGTTTTTTTAAGCACCACGAACAATGTTGGTAGACAATTCTTGACACCATTATGGAAAGACTAAGGCTATATTTTCTTCCAAACGTGCTGTACTTTCTTTCTCATTTGTATGTTGTTGTAATAACTCCTCGTATTCTTTGTCCTGAAAAACTTCATCTAGAAAATTTTAATCTTTTGAATATTCGTTTAAAAGTGTGATTGCTCTAATCATGTTGGCTACATTGTCTACATATTTGCTATTTGATTTTTGCTAATACCAAATCTATGTAGAGTATCTTCCACCATTTTTTTTTGATGGCAGCTGAGTTGTGTTTTCCTTCTGTAATTATGAGTGCCAAGGTTTTAACTTGATTTTTTCCAACATAATCATATTGAATATTTATTCCTAAATAGTTCTCTTTGTGTCGAGTGGCTGCATCTATTTTCACATAAATAAATTTTTTTAACAATATTTCCTATTTCAGCTTTCTTTTTTTCAGCAAATTTACTAACCAAATTGCATACAGAACTGTGTCCAGTGCTGAATCCAAGACTTATACCTAATTGTCCTGTAACCAACTGAAATCCTTCATCCGCAAATGTTTTTAACAAAACTTTGTTATTTGCCATAGAAGGCCAAAAGAAAATGTTGAATCCATTTCGGATTCAACATTTTTATATTCTCTAGATAGATAAATGTAATCTTTCCAAATGCTATTTTGTATTGTAAACTTTTAATTTTCTTATTTGCATGACATTAGTCACCGTAGGCCACATGAAATCACTTATTTATCTTTTCTGTAACCATACATGTAACCAGTTTTCTACTTTTCTGCTTCAATTAAAAAATATCTAGAAACCTCTAAGGATCGTTTGAATTTAAAGTTTTTTTAAAAAAAAAACTACGGAAAACAAAAAAAAAAATGACAATTAATCATTATATAGCACTATAATTGAGGAGCAAACGTTCAAACCGTGCTTTCTCCTTTAGATGAGAATATACAGGAAACGCAAAAAACTAATAAAAATTTAACGAACTGTCATGAATCAAAGTTATAGTTTTCTATTGTTCTTAATAGCTCTGAGGAGTATTCTGATACATTATTTTAGATATTTGTTTGAAAACAAATGAAAAAAAATGCATTTATTTTTTGGAGAAAACATGTTTTGATTGAGTCTCACAAGGATAAAACACTTTTTGAATGATTTAAGTAATACAACAAACGAATAACACAAAGTCAATGGGGTTTATTGGTGCAATTCAAGAATTTGAAAAATTTTGAAATAACGCAACACACAAATTAAGAAATTAAAAAATATGGTAACATAAAACACAATAATAATACATACTCAACAATTTAAATTCTCATTCCAATATCTTCATCCAAACAGTCACACACTTCATCTTCCTCTTCATTCCCGTCTTGTTCATCGAATAATATTTTCCTGTACCATTCAAAATCAGGCTCACTCTGCCATCCATCGCCATATAATAGTTTCAAGAGTTTCTCAAGATCTTTTTTCTTCTCGGCAGAAATGGGACGATTTAGTGGAAGAGATTCTAAAGTTATATTTCTGACGTTTGAAACTTTTATTCCTCTTTTCAGGAGTCCTTCTCCAGCTTGCTCACTTCCATCTTCAAATCTATAGTTTCTGAAGCCCTTGACCTTGACAGCTCCTGTTCCTGGGTGTTTCTTGAGAAAGATCCTTTTTAATTCTGATATGTATGAAAGATTTTTGAAGAGCCTGTTGAGTGATTTGGTATTTAGAAGTTCCCAATCAACACCCATAATTTTTACAGCTCCAATGTTCTTGTAAATTTCATAATATTGTTTTTTGGATATTATTGTTACACTTTTCCTAAGGATTTTCTCAACCCTACCAAACACACGATCTGCTGGCAGAAAACTATGGCCTCTGACCGGAAAGTAGAGTTGAATATCTTGAATGTCAGCATTATTTGAAGAGTAGAGAAAGTGCAAAAGCATTTGAAGGTTGATATTGTTCTTGTATTGGGCAACACATCCGTCACAAAAAAGTCGTAAAGTCTTGATTCCTTTAAGATTCATTGTTCTTAAGTGAGAATGTAGAGCTGAGGAAATTTCAGTACTGCCTT